GATAGCCTCAGGGGCGATGACTCAAGCGGACCAAGCAAACTCGTTAATGTCACTTGTCCTATTCCGCTTTTAGGAAATAGGAACACTCAAACCAAAATAGTTACTGTTTAGCAGCCATTTTAAAGGGAACTAATTTGGGCATTATTGGTTTTAGGACTCCATCAATTTGTGTTTTACTCCATGTCCCCGCCTTGTGACATGTTAAATTTTCGAATAACTACATGTAATACTTTAACCTCAAAATTCATTTTAATTTTCATTTCCATCGCCACAATCACATTTTCCCATTATCAACTATCCGTGTTCTTGTTAGGTTCCAGTTTCCATAGAGAACTTTTACCTTCAAGTACCAAATGAAGCTACATAGAGAAGAGGTTAAAAAAGAACTGAAGAAGCTTAAAATGTTAGAATTTGAATGAAATACTGATATCAGTAAAAGGTCAAAATATTAGCTCCTTATCGATCATTCAATCAAGACTACTACAGAAAGGCAAAAAATCCGTCTTTCAGAAGCATAGTGAGCCGCACAACAACCACAGTTATAGGATTTCAAATTTATACTGTTACGAACAAATTAAACTACACGCTATTTCTACATGCAATTCACTAATTCCAGGAAAAATGGATAAGCATCCAGAGCAACTCACCTCTTTAACCTTCTTATTTATCACGTCCCAGGCAAGACGTGAAAGAAAACCTCCAGCAACAGATGTTAGCTGGACTATACGGGTTGCAACAGCACGTGGCCGTTTACCCCAATATGCAGAAATGCTCTTAGGATCATAAACCAAGGGCAAGAACTCACTGCTTTCATCAACCTGAAGAGTTTAAAGAGAGGAAACATATTATCATACATATTCTTTTACCAAATGACATCTTTTTCCAAGCCAAAAGCAAAAAAACTTTAGATAGGGAAATATCCATTAATATTTTTCCAAGCCAAAAGCTAATGATCTTGAGATACAAGGAAAAATCCATTCATATTGAAGATCCAACTCCTTGAGGAAGCTTCAACAGATTCAATCAACTTGGACTACAACAACCACATTACTATAAATTTTACTGTGATAGTCTTCACATTTGTGGAACCATAAATGACTGCAAAGCACCTTCTTTTGTATATAGTTACATGTAATTTAGAACATAGTTGTTTCCAAGAGAACTAGAGATTACGTACTATATGAAACCGCACTAGAAAAGATCTTGATCCCGGAGAACATCAAAAAGTATTACTTTCTTCCTCTGTAGGGATAGTCATCAAACTCCATTGCTTCTATAATTTTCCAATCGACCATTTGATGGCAGGAAGAAAATCTCTCTCTACAACAACGCCTTATGAATTTTCATCAATTGCACTAAATAGCTAGTTTATTTGACTAAGGTCAAATATCCTACATTAATGAACCTCCCCACAAAAATTCATGAATGATCAGTTTCCTTTGACCTCTCAAAAGACACATCCATATCTACAAATTCTGGATACAGAGACTTCATCACATCTTCTCGTCACAATAAGAATATGAAATTTTCATCACCCAAGACCCTTCACAAGAATGAAAGTTCGAATAAATATACTTCGATAAGGAAGTCAAATAAACGGACCTCCACTAGGCGAAGCTCAATGTTATCATCAGCAAACAAGGAATCTTTCAGGTTTTGACCTCGAAGCCCCCTCATGAGTATTGCTAAGTCCTCATTTTCTTCCATTTGTGCCCTCACTCTTTTGATCTCTTGTGAAACATCCTGCATTCTCTGCAAACCCACAAATATAAAAATTCAATCGGCCATCAGCCAAATATCAATATACTGCTCACACCGACAATTCCATCTGAATAAACCATGTAATAATCTCTTTCTTACTACTTTCCAGAACAATTCTATAGAACTCAATAAACTCATCAACTTTTTTCTTTGTTGAAATCAGTAAAAGCAAAAACTTTTTTTTTTTGGCAGAAAAAGAAAAAACCTTCTTATTGCTGAATTAGTTAATTATTTCTCCATGGAAGAATACTAAGTTGAGTTCATTACACCCTATTGAAGGTACCTTTCTTAATCCAAGTGACAAATGTGAAATTTTGTTGAACTAAATAAATAATGAAAGTACTGATCAGAAAAAGAAATAATGAGAATAACAGCAACAACACAACGACAATAATAATTACTATGATAATAATAATAATATAATCAAATTAACAACAAAAATTAACAAATAAATAAGTTAATACACTAGTGAAAGTGGAGTAATCTGCATCTTATTTTTTCCTCTAATTTTAAATTATTTTACCGCTTCCTGAGCAGCCAAACAAAAATTAAGTCAGCAATCAGTCAAACATCAGTATATTACTCACTCCAATAAACCCATATAAACCATGCTTGCATCATTTTCTCATTATTTTCCACAACAACACTATGTAGAACTCAGTGAAGTTTCAATTTCATAAATAAAAGAAACATCTTTCACAGTTTTTTGGTTGATATCAGTTTTAAAAAATCTTTTTCTCACTGAAGTAGTTAATTTATTTCCATGGTAGAAAAAGAAGTTGGCTTCCTTTCACAAGATTGAAGGTACATTTGGTAATTTAAAGGACAAATGTGAAAGTTTGTTTAATTAAATAAATAATGAACTCTGCCTAATTAATGTGGCACACACTGTCCAAAAAATTATTTAGATTTAGAAACAATTTATTATTAAACTTACTATTTTATCCTTAATAAGGTGATTTATAGCCACCCAAAGTAGTAATGTGATGATGGATGATGGATGATGCAAGGACAATAATTAATAAATAAATAAATAAAATACACTAGTATATGTAGAGTAATTTGCAGCTTATTCTCTATTATTTCAAAATTATTCCAGCACTTTCTGAGCGGCCAAATTAACCTCCACTCTTGTAATCAACAAAAATTCAGATATTGTGAAAATTTAGTCGTAAAACTCAGTCCAAGTTTTGAGCACCCAGACAATTTATCACACCTCAATTCAAACAAAAACTTACCAAGAAATTAAGGATTTAAGTATATACAGTGGCAATGTAGTAAACTTTTCATTTTCAGTGAATTTTGACATGTGATAATAGGGAAGTTACATTATTTCCAGGTCACATATTAATATTTCTCATAAATTTACCTATAATACGTGACATGATTATGTAAATATTATTTATATCGACTTTAACTCATAAATTAAAAATTGAATTTGCATAACCTACTGTAGAAGTAGAAGCACCATTGACTGGTCTAGAAACGCCGTTGACTGGCTTAGTAGTGGTCTTTGACTCCGACGGCTTAGGTTCCGTCGCAATCGCCCGAACGACGCCGTTCTTTTGCCGAATCCTCAACTTCTTCGACAACGACGATGATGAAGAAGAATAGAGACCACGTGAAGGCAGTGAAGAGCGACGCAGAGGATCAATTCTGCCGTAGACCAGCTGTGAAGCTGCGTCCATTATAGCAGAATCAAAGCTTCAAAAAATTAATGTACAAATGTATATGTATGTATAAACTTTTTTGTGTGAAGCTTGAATGCAGAGAATTTATCAAATTTTATTTCAGTGTAAGAGTGAAGAAGGAGATTGTGGAGAGTAATATGGTTGTTAAAAAGGCACACGTGGAAGAATGTGGAACAAGGAAAATTTGTTTGGAATTGAGGGACTATAATGCAATTTTATTTGGCGGGATCTATGCACTATTCTGTGCCGTTCGTTTTTGGAGGATTTGCTTTTTGGTCCTTTCTTTGTATTTTTGTTGTTGTTTTAGTGCTCTAATTTTTTATGCCACATTATTTCATGTGGACAACAATTTACCCCTTTAATTTTTTTTTTTTTTTTTTTTTTGGTCTTGCCTAAATTGTGGTGAGAAGTTTGATCATTTTGTTGAATATTTGCTTCGAATTTTGGCCAAGAGTGTCACCTAAAAAAGTGAGATGTAACTTCAACAATGAAGCCCTTTTTTCCTATCGTCTTATCACATCAACAACAAATCTCTACAACAAAAAATAAAGTCAAATAAAAATAATTAAACTATTCAATACCATTCAGTTTATTCTAAATCCAACATGATGCAAGTACATATGACTCGTCACTAAATGGTTATCATAAACTTTTTTCTCATTTCTTATTCTTGTTTAGTTTCATTCATGCATAGTCACTATTTCCCATTTCATTTACCTCCACTGTTAGTATATCACCTCTAACAAGTTTGTGACTATTATTTTTATTTAGGACTCAAGCTATATTATCATTTCAAAATAGATTTAAATTATTCAAAATATTGAAAAATTAATTTTGACTGTATTTTTGGTGGTGTAAGTATTCGAGATTACTAAACGATGAAAATAAAAAAAAAAATTACTTGCTATTGTTCTTTAAAATATTACATAAATTTTTATGAGCAAAGTTACCAACTAAATGTAACATAGTCTTAATACTTACTAATATCATAAGTGTATAGGGTCAAATTTAACCCTCAGCATCTCTACGCCAGTGGGTACGCCCAGTGAGTGTACGCCAACTAACGTAGCGGGTACGACTCGGCCGCGGGGACAAAAGCGAGATCGTTTAGGACTCAGTGTCTTCACTAGGGAGACGTTACCTGTCTTTGTAACTTTTTGATTCTTTCGAGGAGGGTCTCTTATTATATAAAGGAGACCCTCGCATTGTAAAAGGGGCATCTGATCTAATGCAACTCTCTCATTTTTCTGGCTTTCTCTCTCTATCTCTACTTCAAACGAACATATCTTATTGAGTTCATATTGTCTCTTTGCAATACTAGATCTACAACAATATTATCATCTTTGCATCTCTAGAATTATTATATTTGATTACGATTTACCCTTTTCCTACTTTTAATTGTTTTTCAGCTTACAAAGTATATTGTTAAATTTTGAGCCAAACACATTTATCTAGCCAAACAATAATGGCTCTCTAAATACACCAATCTTCCTAAATAATACAGTAATAATAATAATAATAATAATAATTGTTATAATAATAACATATTTCTCATGCTCACCTTTTTTTTTTCTTTTACCTAAGGTTTGGCCCCAAGGAAAGAATCCTCTAGAGAGCGAAAGAGAGATTTGTTGAGGAAAGGAAAAATGGATAGGTACCAGAAGGTGGAGAAGGCAAGGAGGGCAGAGGAATCCATAAAGGAAAATGAGATCAGAGTCACTGCTCAAGGTCTTATTCGTAATTACATTAGCTATGCCACCACTCTTCTTCAGGTACTTCTGTTTTTGCTTAATTTCTTCCATTTGTTGCTTGTTTTGAGTGTATTTTCATGTCGGGTTTTGTAAAGATTTCAACTTTATGATGTTTTCTTTTTGCTATGTTTGTGTGATTGAAATATGAGTGTATTTTCATGTGGGGTTTTGTAAAGATTTCAACTTTATGATGTTTTGTTTCTGCTATGTTTGTGTAACTGAATTTGAGCTTAGTTTCATGTGGGGTTTTGTGAAGATTTTAAATTTATGATGTTTTCTTTCAGATTTTGTGGCTTTTGGAGTGTTGAAGTATTTTCAACATTTGAGTTTGTAGTATTTTTCCTATCTTGTAAAGTTTCTATTTTATTACTCTTTTTTCCTTTTTGCTTAATTGTTTTTCCATTTGTAGCTTGATTTGAGTGTGTTTTCTTCTGGGATTTTAGAAAGATTTCAACTATATGATGTTTTGGTTCAGTTTTTGTGGCTGTTGAAATATTTTCAAATTTGAGTTTGTAGTATTTTCCATATCTTGTAAAGTTTCTATTGTTTTTGGTCCCTTTTTTTTGTCCTTTTTACAAGTGTGGTGAAGAAGATAGAAGAAACTTTTTTTCCCTATATTTATGTTTAATTATTTGAGCCTAGTTTCATACCGAGATTAGGAAAAGTTTCAAATTGATGTTGGGTTTTAGTTTCTTCTTTTATTCTTGGTAGCATTTCAGTGTTGAGTTTGTCTTGATAATTAGGGAAGATCAGTCCCAAATGGTTAGAGATGGATTTTCTATTAGTTTGTAGTCGTTTCCAAGTCTCTGCTCTAGCGCTTTAGCTGTGAAAAAAGAGAAATAAACTGCTTTTTGTCATTATTATGTCCATTTAAGAAGGCGTGGAACGGATGTGGTGAAGAACGCACAATAAAGAGACTTCATTTATTAAAAAAATGAGGACTGGTGTTCCATCGATTTATAATAGTGAAGCTGAATATTGCCCCCAGAGCGCATTGCGTGAAACCTGCTGCTGATAAAAGTTTGGTATATAAGTGGAGTAGGGTGGAGGGGCAGGCCCATTTTCCAATTTTTTAAGAAGTTTCAAGTAGTGAAGCTGAATATTAAAGAGCCCATTTAATGAATATTTTTCTTTTAATTATGTATTGTTCTTAGTATTCGTAAACTCCAGTGGGTTTAAGCATTAGATCATTGAAAAGATGGCTCCATGAAATTATATTGTTAAATAAGTGTAAGAAAAAAATATGGTGAAAGTTGAATTGAAGAGTCTAAAGTTGCATTCTAATTCATCTTACCTAAGTTTGTTAGTTCTGAATTTGGCATATGGAATTTCTAGGTTACAATATTTTAAATTTGAAGGACTAGACTTCTCTGACGGTCTAACTTCAAATACAGTAGCTACCGAGATTCCAGTTAATAATAAAAAAGGACTACTTTCTATAGGTCATTGAGCTCTAAAATGATGTATAAGAAGAATGTGCAGACTTGATACTTCTAAATGAATCGTAAAAACAATCATGACCAATTGGAATAGTCAAAATCACCACCCGATGTGGGGCATGTCATGCGGTTCCTATGTTTTACTACGAGTAACTGGGGGAAATACTATAGAAAGTTATTAGGCCTTGAGGCAGGTGATTTGGAATTCCACACTCTGATTTTCATCAAACAAGTTTTTTTTCGTGTGGCTATGTGGTTTCTCAATTGCACGTCAGCATATCTCTAATGCTACGTTTGGGCACGTGTTACATAAATTAACCTGAATAATCTTTTTCTGAGCTTGATCCCCTTGTGAACTTGTTTACTCACACAGATGCTGGTCAAGTAAATTAAATCTTGGCTTGTCAGGGTATTCTCCCTATCCAACTTAGGAGAGAAACTACTCATAATCAATATCTACTTGGAGGCTGCTAAAAATGGCATTTCTTCATTTATTTGCATTTGCATCAACTGTAATCTATGTGGCTATGTCTTTTTCTGAAAACGATGTCAATGAAGGGAAGGGAAAGCTCTAGCTAGACATGTATTATTTTTGTCAAACTTTTCAGTTGGTGACTTTACATTGCCTCCTTGTGCAATTTTCTTGTTATACATTGTTGCTTTCTTATTTTTCCTTTTTTTTTGGTCAAATTAAAATGCTACTGAAAATTATTTGCCTTAACTCAATGTTATTGGTATGTATATGTTATTCTGCATTGCATGATATTCATTGATATATCTCTACTGTCATGTTCAGGACCAACGAACAGAGGAAATTGTTTTGAAGGCAATGGGACAGGCTATCAGTAAAACAGTTGCCATTGCAGAGATTATAAAGGTATTGTCAGCGGGATGCCATTTTAATTTGCTAAGTACAGGATTGACAGCTGATTTTATTTGCACGATTTGTATCTGTAAAACAGAAGAGAATTCCCGGGTTGTATCAAGATACATCTATAAGCTCAACTACCATAACTGATGCATATGAGCCCATTGAAGAGGGTCTACAACCGTAAGTTCATGTTATTCTTGTTTCTTGTTCCTTCTTGTATGTGCTTCAGTTACAGACAGTTGATTATTCTCTTATGTATGCTTGAGTAGCTTGGAGATGACTCGCCAGGTCTCCCTGATCACAATTACTTTGTCGACTGTTGAGTTGGATAAAAGCTCTCCCGGGTAAGCTTTACAAACATTGTATCTTTGTTTTGGAGGGCTCCTTCCCTCCATTTTTCTGAGGAAAAGATTTTGAATACACTTTATATGTTCTCTAACTTGGGGTGAATGCTGCATATCTAGCTACCAAGCCCCATCTGATTTTGACCCATCAAAAGCAGACAACCAACAACTACAGCAAGCAAAACAAGTGTATGTTCCTTCAGATGGTAATCAAGGTAAACACCGTTAATGTATGAGTTGGATTACATATTACCCGTAATTTTGCTGCTTGTTTTCCTTTTTTCCCCTTGAGATTTCTCATGTGGATAATTGGCATTGCGCCATTCAGCAATTAGTTTTCCAAGCACAAATCCTGTCCATAGTAATTGTGAAGTTTATCATTTATGTTTCATGATTGGATTGGAGCTATGTTTCATCATTACATTGCAACCAATATTTTGCAACTATTTTATTGTTATTATTTTTTTCTTACAAAACATGATATTCAGATTCATATGGTGTCTGTGGTAGAGGTCGAGGTAGGGGCAGAGGCAGAGGGCGAGGAAGGGGACGTGGCTGGGGTGGTTATGGAAACTACTACCAAGGTATTGATTGATTCGTATATGTTTTATAAATAACTGATTTCATTTTCTGTTTTTTTTAATTACATAGGGGCTAGGGAATGGGAAGGGGAAGGAGGATGATGATTCGAATCCACACCAATTGTGTGGGAGACTCATGTCGGTTCCACTAGGATGTTAGCTTTGTCTATTCTGTATTTACTTTATCTTTGAGGTTAGGTTTCTTCCTCTGGCCTGCGTTCTAACTAATACATGCTATTAGCAGATGATGGCGGATATTATAATCCAGGTCGAGGTGGTGGATTTGCAGATAATGGTGGAAATTATAATCCAGGTCGAGGTGGCGGTAGAGGTAGAGGTTGGGGATACCGTGGTAAGTTCTAATTCAATGCCGCCATAATATCGCAATGCTTATATATCGAGACTAAGAAGATAATATGACTTGCATGATACGTGGTACTAGAAGATAAAAATAGTTATCATAGAGTTCGAAGTTGTTTTACAAAGAAATCACATTTGTCGCCTACATTGGGGTGGAGGAAAAATTTAGAAAAATTACCCGGCACAGATCTCTAGGTTTTCTTGTCTTCTTTTTCATGTTACAAAAAGTTTTTGTATAGATTTGGTTGATGGCACAAGTAAAATGGCAGCCCGGTGCACTAAGCTTCCGCTATGTGCAGGGTCCGGGGAAGGGCCGGACCACAAGGCTCTATTGTACGCAGCCTTATCCTGTATTTCTGCAAGCCGTTGTTTCCACGGCTCGAACCTGTAACCTCCTGGTCACATGACAACAACTTTACCAGTTACGCCACGCCAGGGCTCCCTTTTATTTTGAACATTCTTTTGGATAAGTGGCATCTTTTGTTTAGAACTTGGCTGCTAATGCTAAAAGCTAAAAGCTAGTGAATTTTTCTCTTTCTAGTCGAGGCCAACACGAATGTAATGGCTTTCTGTCTATTTTTTATCTCTATCTTTTGTCAGCAAGTGTTTTTACTCCTAGTTGCAGAAACAACACATTACCTGTACAGCTGTACTTCTAATTAAAAAAAAGGGCATCTCGGTGCACAAAGCATCCCCCATTTAAGCAGGGTCCGCGGAAGAGCTGCACCCTAAGGGGTGTGATGTAGACAACCGACCTTAATGCAAGCATTACCTATACTTCTAATTAAAAAGAGAATAAGCTAAGTACTCGAACGAATGAAACTTTATGTCTTACATCTCTTTACTTTTGACCTTTTGGTTGCTTTTCAACAGGCACGGGATACGGAAGGGGCAGAGGTGGAGGCTGGGGTGGTGGCAGAGGTTATAGTCGTGGACAAGGCCGAATGGGCGGTCGGGGAAGGGGTGGTGGAAACCAATCTGTTTGAGCTTAAATCTATAGCTTGATATTGCAGAAGCTCTGGTATAGTATGAAACTTTTTGGGTGAATTTTCATGCAGTTTTGTTGATGTTACTTGGCAAAGGTTTTGTTGTTTGGTGGTTTCTTTTGCTTTAGTTGGAGAGCCATTTGTTGGCTCTTATATTCCCCATGATTCATTTTGTTCTTTTGGTGATGCCCTGTAATAAGTTTTCATTTTTCAGTGTATATAGACTATTTACTTCACTTTCCCCTCATATTAATACTACATTTAAATCTTTATGTTTAAAATATCAATATTATCAAATTCGTTGATTTAGGCTAATAATTAGTCTCTTCTCACCTCTAATATTCATCTAGAATAAAATGTAGCGCAAAAATATAGATAAAAGAACTCTTTCCTTTAAATTGAATGCCTTATGTTTAAAATTCAGTATGTTAAAAATAATGTTAACCTCTAGTACATGCGGCATTTACATGAAACTGACTTTTTCTTCATTGTATACTTACTTCGTTCACTTTTACTTGTTCACTTTTACTTGTTCACTTTGGACTTTCTACGGCTTTTAAAAATAATAGTTGTAGTATGTATTTTACCGTATAGCCCCTGATAATAATAGCATTTCAAAAAGTTCTCATTTACGAGTTCTCATTTACCAATCTACTCTAGAGTGAGAAACTCCAACATCTATCTAAAAATCCTCTAATCTTTCAAACCACATTCACATCCCTCATCTAATATGGATACAGATGCAGAAATGGCATTAATTTCACCCCAACCACCGGATATTACCGACGATTGCATTGCCCGATTGTTTAGTAATTCACAAGCCTCTTTTAAGGATAAATTAATTAGGGGAGGGGAAGGGAAGGGACGGATATCATTTCTGATCTCACCACATCCATAGTCAACACCTTTGGTATCTCTCCCCCCATTGATACCCATTGAATTAACCTCTGAAGAAAAGAAAATTTTTCTTTCACAGGAGGATAAAAATCGGATGTACATGCCTTGGAGACACTCCATCATAATTAAGTTACAAGGGAAAAGAATACTCCATCAAATCCTTAGGGAAAAAGTCCAGGAGCTTTGAAAAGTGTCTGAAAATTTTTCCCTAATTGATTTAGGATCAGATTACTTCATTGCTAAATTTCAAAACCAAGAAAGCATGATCTCAGTTCTACAAAATGGTCTGTGATTTATCTTTGGCCATATTCTTTCATGTCAAAGGTGGGAACCAAATTTTGTAGCATCTGATGCCAAACAAATCCACACGGCTATTTGGATTCGTCTACCAAATTTACCTACCGAATTTTATGATGGAATCATTCTTCAAAAAATTGGGAACTCGATTGGTAGACTTCTTAAAATAGATGCTTGTACCTCCTCTACCCTAAGAGGTCGCTATGCTCGACTTTGTGTGGAATTACCTATGGACAAACCAGTTGCAAAATCTATTCAAATTGAAAAATACAATCAAATAATCGAATACGAAGGGAAAAAATTTCTATGCAAGCTATGTAGATTATTAGGGCACACCATAGACCACTGCCCTATGGATGGAATACCAACAGTCCAAGCAAAAAATAATAATGAAGAGGCAGTAGAAGAACATCAGGAAAAAGCAAGGAATGAGGAAGGTTGGCATAAAGTGTCCTTTCAAAAACCAAGAAGAATGCAGGAAAAAATCTCAAAGGAAGACAAAGAGAACACTGCGGATGCAGGTATTGATGTCAAAATTTTTAATGCTACGACAGGTAAGTACTCATATTCAAAAGCTAAAATTTGTCCATAAGGATAATTCTTCCATGTCTTCTATACAGAATAATTCATGTTTGGCTAAAACCACCAATACAACAATGGGGAGTAAGTTAACTAGTATTTACCAAGAAAACTACTTCTTTACATTGAGTGAGGAGCACACTGTTTTAAAAAACTACTCTCTCCAAATAACCCATTATTAAAAAACAATAACAATATTAACATGCATGCTTATAGAAGACCTAGAAAAGACAAAACTAGCTAACACTTCTATTAACCCTACTGATCCTACTATTCACATGCCTAATGAAATGATGACAGGAAACTTATCAGAAACCCTTACAATAAACCCTTCATCTTCTTGATATTATTAAATCAAATTATCCCCCTAAACAAGTTAATTCCAGTAGTTCTCATAATCTCTACACAAAAGACAAAAATAATTCACAAAATGACCCACACTTGTCCACTGTTTCGCTGGAAAGTGAACAAATGGAAGCATGGGACATGTGGCCAAAACATCCCATGCAAAATCTTCAAATAAATCCTACACGCTAAATCCCCCAAATTGCATGCATGTAGATGAAATCATTCCCTACACTCCAACTTCTACCAATTTAACTACTACCAACATCCACAGAAATGCCAAGAATCACCCTAACCAACCGAAGGAGATATCGATTAATCCAAATCCTTCGCAAGCCCCTTGAAAATGGAAAACCTTCCTCCTCTACCACAACATCTACCAAACAACCCCATCATCTATGTCCAACCACCAATGTCATAGGATCATCACCCTCCATCCTGGATAGAGTTAGGGCTTATAGGGAGGGGTCTCATGTTCAATGCAACAATCAATGGTCAGGAGAGTGTAATTCTAATTCAAAATCCTCGTTAGCTCAACTAGTATCCGAAGGTCTTCATCTTGCCATGAACAACTATATGAATCATGTGTGGGTAAACAACTTCCTTCAACACCTAGCTCCATCTCTGAACCTAAATCTAGTGCAGGAAATGAGAGGCCAATGGAACCCCCCCTCCCCCACTTCAATCCAGTCCCAATACTACCCCAAAACCTAGGTCTAGATCTCCCATTCTTCCCACCAGAAGCCCTAACAGCCCTGAACCCAATTCTAATGCAGTGGGAGGCTTCATAACCACCACAACAACCTCCACCTCCAAACATGCAAATGAACATGGAAAATATCAATCCAAATCCTCCAATAACTCCAAACATGGGAAATCCAGTGGAAGAGGAAATGAACGATCCAATAGACTTGATTGGAGAATCAGTGGTGGAATTGGGAAGCTTAAACGAAGTAAAGGTTTTCTTGTTCAAAGAAACTCAAGAGAAGAGGCACATCCTTATTCGTCCACAGAATCTCTACAAATGTGCAATGGACATACGCCCACCTCAAGATCCAACGGTGGGGAACAGAGCAATGATCTTAGTCCCATCTCTAAGGAGAGGCTCACATCTTTCCATGGAGAATTGACACAAACCAACCCCAACTGTTAATATGTCTAGTCGTATAAACTTTATCATATGAAATATTAGAGGTGGGAATAATGAGGACTTTAGAAGAAATTTTAGGGATCTTATGGTAACTCATAGGCCTTGCATGGTCACTTATTGGAAACTAGAATGAATGCTCGTGGTTCTCTTATGAATGACTTTGGGTTCTCGGAGTTGATTGAGGTGCCTGCTGAGGGCCAAGCTGGTGTAATGGTTGTTCTTTGGGACCATACCAAAGTGAACGTGCATAACTTTGTTCGTCGCAATCATGAAATCCATGCAACTATTGAGGTAAGACCTACTAATTTTAGATGGTTATTTTCATCTATCTACGCTAGTACAACTTCTGAGAGATAAAATGTGGGAAAATATTAAAAGCATTGCGGATAATCACAATTGCCCTTGGTTAGTTGGTGGTGATTTTAATGATTTCTTTAGGGCTAATGAAAAACTAGGGGGAAGAGCTTTAAACCGTAGTCGTGCCCTTAAGCTTTGGTCTAACTTAAACTATTGTTAACTTTTAGACCTAGGGTTTAAGGGTAGCAAATATACTTGGTCAAATCGTAGATTTACCAATAATAAGCTTATTATGGAACGACTTGATAAGGTTTTTAGTAATTATCTTTGGATTCAAAAGTTTCCTAATGCTTCTATAATCCATCTCCCTAAAATCCATTAGGACCACAATCCTTTACTTATCAACCTTACTCCAAAATAGTGTGGCCCCTTGTGACGATCCGACCCGTCGTCTCAGGAGTTACCGCCCGTTTCCCCCCATTCTTATGCTTCTTCATGTTTCATTATCAGTATTTGGTGTGTTAGAGTTGATTTGGATTGGTTTTGGTAGAGAATGAGACACTTAGTTGTTATTTTTATGGGGTAGAGCACCGTCCCGATTGATGATTTTTACCACGTATTTGACTGGAACATATTTGTTATTATCATGATTTGGGCTGATTGCCATATTTGGGCTTCGTGCCAATTATTTGAAACCTTCGGGGATTATTTTCACTGTTTCTTCACTATTTTAATTTATTACTTGAACTCAGTCTTATTGTTTCTCCACTATTTTACAACTCAGCCACTTTTACTCAGATTTGAGTCTTAAATGATATTTTAAATGATAATTTGGGCCGAGGACTACTGTTTTACTAATGCCCAAGGGGCTTGTGATGATATTCTGACTGAGTGTGGCCGAGGGCCAGATGTGAGGATACACTGAGTGATGTGAGGCCGAGGGCCTGGATGTGAGGATTATATATCGATCGGGTTGCACGCCGCAGCAGTATATTATATGGATCGGGCTGCACGCCGCAGCAGTATGTATATATTGGATCGGGCTGCACGCCGCAGTGATATAGTGCTTGGGCTGTAGGAGCCCCTCCGGAGTCTGCACCCCCACAGTGAGCGCCGGTACCCATATGGATCGGGTTGCACGCCGCAACGAGCTATGGATCGGGCTGCACGCCGCAGCGATATGTGGATCGGGCTGCACGCCGCAGCAGCTACTATGTGATACTGTTCTGAGAGTGTTGTTGAGAGTGAGCCCGAGGGGCTGGTACTGTTTTTGAGGGATTGCCCGAGGGGCGGACTTTTACGTGCTCATCCATATTTATTTGCCTTTTACCTGTTATACTGTGGTATTTATGCCCGAGGGGCGGACTTTTCTGTGCTTATCAGCACTAACTGTTTTGAAATCGTTTTCGTAATTATTGAAAAGATCATTTTCAAAAGAGATTGGAACTGAGCCAAGGTATTTCTAAAGATTTCACAGATTACACTATTTTCTCAGAAAATTGTACCCGGCTTTTATATAACATGTTGGTTGCTTTACGTGATTTCTTGCTGATCAGTTATTATTTACCTTTATTACTCACTGAGTTGGAGTATTCACTTTACTCCCTGCACCTCGCGTGCAGTTGCAGGTATTTATTCACCCGGTAGCGGGTAATGGCTGCATGGAGGTAGAGTCGTAGAGGTTTTAGCGAGG